GTGTGGTAGAAGCAACATAATCCTTATAAAGTATTGAAGCATTCGTTCTACTTTTGGAAAAAAAAAGGTCCCTGAAACGGCCCGAATCTTACCAATATTCCTCGCCGTGTTTGCCTGCAGCGTTTTCTAGTTCTGTTTCTTAATGACACGGTTCAAAAATAGATTCGCCTAAACTTATGCCAATAATACAATTTTGCGTAACGATTTCAAACATTAACGCCGAAACAAGTGGCAAAAAGCTCTTATTTTTAACACCTGTTGCATTCCATGTGTGAAAAGAAGTATTATCATTCATTAGTTCATTTTATAGTTGCAGGGAAGTATGATTAAGCTTTTAGCGAGAGTATATTTCACCTAGGAATAGCTTACGGGATCAACAGGGTTCAAAGGTTTTTTTTCCTTCACCATTTCATAAATCAGAAAGTGATCATCTCAATGAAAAGGTAACCTTGTCTAATTTCGTCGTACGAGAGTCTAGCCCATACACCACAAAAGAAGAATTGTGAAATGCAATATTTTCCCCGCTTCTTCTAATAGTTTGCTACAAACGGGACAGCATAGGTTCTTGTGGAAATACAGGCTGTGCTAAATAATTTTTTGCCTTGGTGTGACAAAGTGATTAACGTAGCCCGTTAAAGAGGGGTAGAGCAAATAAACCCACAATCAAACGATGCTTCTGTCAAATCAACTCTTATTTTACTGTTTGAAAATGAGCCCACTAGTTAAGTAACATTTAAGAGGCTATACATTGACTGTATAAAACTCTACTGGAAAAATAGGTTTCATTATGCAGTTTTAACGCCTGGCAACTTTTGTGTAAATAGCAAAGGTTATTTTCCGCTCAAAAGCAAATGCATCGTCTTATGATGCAGTGGGACCAATGTGTGTCGCCTTCCTTATTGTACTGGTGGTTAGGTACGGAGTGCTTTGAGTACTTGTTTCACAGTAAATGAGTTAAGGCTAGTGCATATTTCCGAAAGGAACATTTTGTACTGTGTAAGACTGTCAGTTTAACTGATCGGAAATATGATATACGAGACTCTGAATGCCTAACAAATCAGGCAAAGGGGGGGGGTGTCAAAAAGTGGCCATTGCAGAAAGAAACAATCAGCATTGCTTCCAAAATCTAAAGTTGAAGGTTTAGTAGCCCGTTCAAGTCTTTAAAATTTTAAAGTTTATTTCAAACTACGACACATTTTCAGAGAAGTTGACACTGGTTTTTGTTCTTTGTCATTAAGGTTTGGCTCAACGTTGTGGTTGGGGTGCTACTACAATTTTATTCTTTTCTTTCTTTTTCTTTTTCTTTGAGTCAAAAGTCTAAACCAGAACAATAGGAAACCGTCAAATGCTCTGCTTTAAATGGTGCATGTGCTACTTCGCCCTTTTTCTTTTGACTCTACTTTTAACCCATTGTACTTTGTCTATGCTGTTCTTGTGGCTGAAATCTAATGATTTGATTACGTAGTGCAATTTGCATAATTAACGATGTAGGTTGTGCAAAATTGCTAAAAAGTTTAAATTTGTCAAAAAAAATATTATTATTTTCAAAAAGGTTATTTTTCTCTTAATTACTTTATTTTCTTTTCCTGTGTTGTCTTAGCATTAGATCCCCATTGTTCGAGAAAGAGTGGACACTTATTGGGTAGAGATATCGTGATGCCGTGCCATTGGGAACAATCTACATGCATCTTTTTTAATGACTGCGCTTAGGGGCCACACAGTATTTGCACATCAATACAAATCCCAATAAATTTCTTTTAGGAAGCAAAAGCGCATGATAAAAAAAAAAATATAACTTCCAAACACAATAACAAAGCTGAGGAGGAGAACTGCATCATCAATCCTGATATTGTGTATGCTCAGGCTCTTAAGTCGTGGGTGAAGTGGGTTCGGTTAACAAAAAGAAAAAAAAATATTATAATTGTGGTAGAAAATTAACACAGTTTGCTTAGCAGAAAAAAAAAGAACATATGCATATCCTGTGATATAATTGCCTGAAACTGATGAAACAAAAGGGTGTTCAAGGGGTGTTGGGGAAGTACATCAATGGCTTGGATTTATTTGCACACCGGGTATATATACATACAGATATCTTTTCTCTGTTACGTTTTCATGGACATTTTAGAGATTTAGTTTGAAAGAAGGGGAGATCTGTGAATCACGTGTCAAGCTAATACATTCAAGATTCAACATAGATTCACCAATACTGAACCACTTACCACCAAAACTTGTTATCCTTTAGTGATATTTCACTTTGATTTGAAAATAAACTTTTCTAACAACAGTAAGGATAAAAGGTTTAATTCCCCATTTCATAGTCACAATTCAACTTTATTTAACCCATTCACACAATTACACAATCACCAAGTACGAGATAAAGTTCGTTCACACTCCGTCACACCTATCACCCACATACGAGAAGTTAAACCATTCTTTGGAGAACCCATACAACAGCTTTTTTTCGGGGCGGAATAAACAGAATAAAAAATATTTTATTATTATTACTTATTACTGGTATTATATTTTAGATCAACCAACCAAAACACCAATAATAATAAATAATAAACAATAAATAATAAATAATTACCAAAAGGGTAAAACTCAAACAATAGAATATAAAAAAAAGACAAAATTAAGGTTTGTATTACAAAACCTTATTTTTCACATATTTAGTAATACGCCTACTGTTAGTTTGCTTGCTTGTTTACGTATTTTGGGGCGCCATTGTTTTTGGACTATTTTTGAGCCAACGTTACTTGTGGCAAATCGGTACCTAGTTATTATCTTTGTTGTCATTGTTTGAAATAATTACAAATTTTAACAAGTTTGAAAGATCTTTACTGTTATACGAGCTAGACCTTATAATTGAGTTTCATATCTACATTAGTGCTGATACTCAACCAAACAGACAGTTTTGGGCTATACTTTCAATTAAACTTTCCCACCCGGCAACTCCACACGAATCAAAAACCTTAAAACATTTTTTTTTTGTCATTTAAACTTTTACTTTTGAAACACAAACCAGAAAGAAACTGCATATACGTTACCCTACACTTAGAAAAGGCCCATAGAGAAACGGAGATAGCGCTACAATTGTGAACTGCTAAACAGCCTTAACCCATTTAATCACAAAACTCAGAAACATACGAAGGAGCGCGAAGTTCCAGAAAGTCAAAAAAGTCAAAATTATTTAATATTTATACTTTTTCCATTGTTGTGTGTGTGTGTGTGGTTTCTAAAGAGCTTAAAAAAGTAAAAGAAAATAAAACCCACTGAATTACTAAGAGCTTAAGAAACACAACAAGTTTTTACTAAGTTTTGTTTTCGTCGACAAAAGTCTAAAAAGGGAAGGGCGATTGACTTTTGCACAGGTGGATCAAATCTGAAAATTTTGAAACCCAATTGGAAATAAGATATCAAAAAAGTTTAGGGGTGGGAGAACAGAGAAAAGAAAAGAATCAGGTACAAACAACTACAAAGACTAAAGCATCAACTGCGTTCGATTAGAAAGTTCATTACCGAGGCATTTGTAGTTTAGCCGTGTCATATCAGCTTCTCAAAAGCACCTATCAGTTTTATCTACCAAGTACTTACTAACGCCGTGTTATTATTTGGAATTGAACGTCACCATTTAACAAGTGAAATTACCAGCCTCCTCCGCTCATCACCGCCGAAATCATACAATTTAATAGTCTTCCTATAACAAAGGTCACTCAATTACACACCAACCCAAGAAACCGCTTTGTCATCATTATTTCTTAGCCATTGCATTCTATTATAAAAGCAAAGTCAGGCAAGAGAAGAGAACTCATTCTGGAATTACACATACTCAATTCCCCGGCTCAACCCAATAATAATCGGAACTTCAAATTTTTTAAAATTGCAACATCGATATTATATTGGCAGTTATTGACAGAACATCAAGCTGAGTGGAGCATAACGTGCACGTGATAACTTTTGCTCAATATATTTCCCATACTGGCCCCTCTCCGCAAGTTACATCCTTATTAGATCTGGGCTAGCTGATCTCGGGTTCTAGATTAGTTTTGGAAGTAAAAACCTTAAAGCAACAACAGCAACTTTTAAAAAAGTGACCACTTTGAAAACATTTTTTGGGCTCCATTATTATTCTACGACATCAATATTATCTTTTGGTTCTAATTTGTACAACTTGGCCCATTTTTTTCACTATTTTAATCTTGGAAGTCTTTCAACGGGGAATTGAAAACAACAATAATAAACAGAGACATTTAAAGTTTTGGGCTGTTATTTTCTTGACATAGAGGAACATCAAATAAGCTTCTATAGACCAAACACTAAAGTTTCAAAGTTAAAGTTTGGTTATTGTTGTACACACTTTGTTTCAGTGCAGTACTTGTCCCTTTCCACAACAAATTAAAACGAAGTTTAAAATAATAAAAAAGTCACCCCAACATTGGTGATCATTGGAGGTGGTATTTCCCAAATTTCCAATTCACCACAAAAGCACACTTCCGTTTCGTTGAAAATCCACAATAATAACCAGCTAACTACATAAAATATAAATACAAGTATACCCGCTACATTACTTGCAATCTTGAGTCTATTTTTCTTGTTGGAAACACACAACCAAAACAAAGAGAAAAGCAAAACACATTTAGTCAACTGTGCATGCAACATCTACCACTTAAAGGTAACATCTACATATACTTACAATTCAAGGTGTTTCCCCCAAAAAAGACTACTAAAATTGTAGCCTAGTTTAGATTCACAATCAACTTTAGCAAGTCGTCATTGAGCAAAATCCCGTTAAGGTTTATTTTTCACTACAACCACAAACTTTACGTCAATTTGGTTTTCTTTTTCGCTTTTTACCTTCTGGTTGCAACCATATAATTCAGACACCGATTTTGTGGTTGGCAATAGAAAATACAACCAGGTAACCAAGATATATTAATATTGTGAGATATAACCACATCTTGGGTAAATTGAAACACTTTTTTCACCACACACTACTCAAGATGTCAGCACCGAAGCTAACACCGACGTACCATGGATATGTTGGATCGACTAAGGATGCGCTTTTAATCATTTACCAAGCGCTAAACAAACAATTGGAATTGGTTCCAAGGCGGCCACATGAGCGGGAAAGACCACATTTGATCAAATCCGGTAATGTCTTTGTATTTATTGAGGAACATTCCGGGATCAAGCGCTGGACTGATGGTACTTCATGGTCGCCTTCGCGTATATTGGGAAGATTTTTGGTTTACCGGGAGTTGGATAAGTCTTGCCTTATCGAGAAAGACAATAAGAAGAAGAAAAAACGCAAGGCAAGTCATAATAAATTTGATGAACTAGACAACTTAGACACTGCAACTGCAGCACCAAGCACACACAGAGATGGCGACAATACACCGGTTTTAAATCCACAACTCCAGCACCATCACCAACAGGTACAACAAACCGCACCTAGCCACCAACAGCAAGCGACATCGCAAGATGTTATACCGCCAAATACTATTCCTGCATCAAATTCATACAGTGGTGTTGATTATAACAAGAGTTTGCTAAGTGGACCACTAGTTACTTCATACATATTCAAGGATCAGGGGTTGATTAAAAAGACGCTATCGCTAACCACTACCACCAGTGATCTCCATTTGGAAAAGTTGAATGAGAAACAGACTATACATTTGATCAGCTACTACAATGCGCAAGAGGTCATGAATGGAAAGTTGCTTCGTCCTTCAGAATCGGAATTTAAGGATGTTTCAATTCCAGTAACTATGTGGAACGCAGTCAAGGACAGTTCATTAGGTGGGAAAATGCCTCTTGAAGATGAAGCGTTTTATTTTCTTGATGGAAATTACCAATTACAAAGCATGTTACAACTGCAGCATCAACAGCACCAGCAGCAACGACAACCTCCACAACCACTGTCATCTAGCCTCGGTGATGCTAAGCTAGCATATGGTAAGTATAATGGACCATTGGTACAACCGCAACAACAGTATCCAGCCCGCTTAGGCCAACAATTATCCATGGGCATGGCAATAACTAATCAGACTCAAAATGACAACACATTAATGAAGCGCGAGGAAGAAGAGAATGGACCAATAGTTGGCAACGAGTTGAACTTCATCAATCCATTTACAGGAACACAGCAACAAGTACCAACATATGGCAACACATTGGGTTTCGCATCCAGCAACAGCAATGGATACAACTACATGATGCAAAACCAAGGTCAAACGTATGCACCATCACAGTATAACCAGTATTTGCAGCACACTCCTCCACAGATGAACGCACAAGATGTATATCCCCAACATTATCATCCTGGCTTGCTGCAACTGCAACAAAAACATACATATGGACCTCAGCAACAATCTGGAACCCCAAATCCATCTTCATCAGCGTTTCAGCCACCACATGTGCCAAATCCTGCAAGTAAGTCATCAGCTGGAATGGGGATGAATGTTAACCAATCTCAGGCGGCGGCCGCTGCTGCTGCTGCTGCTGCTGCTGCTGCCACCGCTGGCACACCTACTCCAGGTCATAGTGTAGCAACAAATAATTCAAGTGGAAGCGCTGGACAACATTATCGCCTTGGTTCAGGCTCGTCAGTGGATCATTACACGGTTGGAAATAACAACTCCTTGTCGTCGATAAATAGCAGTGGAATGTATCAAGGCAGTTTGTCAAACACTACCAGCACTAGTAGTGTGATGACCACGAATTCCAGCCTTTCTGTTCCTGCAGGCACGAGAAAGTATAGCCAGCAATCGTCCGGTGGACAAGTGCCAACAATGAGCAACCTAAAGCTGAGCAATTATACACCAATGAGCCAAGGATACGGAGTGGCGAATAATAGTTCAAATACAGTTACACCGTCAACTTTTTCAGCAAGTGGAGCAGCATCGGTAGAAAGTTCACGCACATTACTTCAAAATAATGCAAGTGAGTTTGAACATTCGCAGCCACATCAAGGACTGTTTATGAGTCAGTATCCAGAACAGCAACAGCAACAGAAACAGCCACACCATCACCATCACCATCATCATCATCAATCTATGTACCATTACCAGCTGTCACATCAGTACCCAAAATGGAGCAATCCTCCTCCTCCTCAACAACAACTACAACAACAATCGCAAGCCGTACAACCAGGAGATAACGGTAATGGAAATACTGGTGCTGCTGGTGATGACGCAGCTAGCGCCCCTTCTGGAGGCTTGACTGGTCCACAGAACTCCTACTATCCTACATCAATGCAAGGCTCAAGATTTTAGGAAAACTAGCTCCGGTGTGAGGTCGGATCGAACTAGTTGCTGCCTTATTCATGTACTGTCTTACCCCTCAATCAAAATTGCTCCTTTTCTTGAGTTGTCCATCTATGTATGGTTGTTTTTCATTATATAATTTAGAAACCAGTAATATTAATATATTTTTATGCCCCTTTTGCTCAATACTATGTGTTGTGCCAGTCTACAAGTAGGCTAATAGAGATTGGTGTCTAATAGATTCTAATGAACTTGGAAGTTCGAAACAGAAATATCAACCAACCTACAGCGGGGCAGTATAATTACACAACAACAAGCCCAAAAAGGCTTTCTTTTTCTTTTCTTCTTGCAACAATAGTAAGCCTTTACACAACATCATGGCCGCCTTATTACCCCAGTTACAAAACGCTTCCAGCGTGGTTATTTTCCGCCTTACATGGAGTACTCATTCAGCTATATAATTTAACACTTTTTTAAAATGCTTTAGGCTTCAGGTTATGAAGGATTTAACTAAAATAAAAAAGACTAACTTGAAGTTTGTTGCCCGTTTTCAGCAATTGAGTTTTTAAGCTTATTTAGGGTGAAGTTAAAACTAAATCTGCTGCTTTAAATATCGTACGTTTTGAAGACGATATAAATCGTAAAGTAGTTGTCAAAAACACATGAACAACGTAGTAAGCTATCATTGCGACAGAACGAATACGAATTTATTTACTTGCATACCGAAATCTTGCCAACTTGTCTCGATGTTGGTTCCCTCCTAATACTTACAAGACTCTAGATCCTTATCTACAAAACTCTGAATTTTACCTGACATTGCAGAAGCAACGCCCATTGTCGGCAAACCAAACTATAAGCAAAAGCAGATTTGAGTTTCAACTAAACAATTCATACCTTTTCGCGTCTAGGTTTCTTAGTTTGTTTGACTAAAAATGTAGTTGCAAAATTAAGTTAGAAGAAAAGCATTGACTCAAAAAGCATAAAAGCTTATTATATCAGCTTCTCGGTTTAAGTTTTGAGAGGTTGTTTTGGAAATCTGGTCAGAAACGTAAACAAAACAATGAATATCCATCAAGAGTCAGAGCATTTTTTTCATGGTTTGTAATAAGTTGCTAAATCATTTGCCACAATTTGGTGCAAATTTCTTCTGAATTTATCTTTATATGTATAGTAAGATCAGGAAGTACAAATCAAAGCCAAGCGAAAATGTAGCTACCTCTTCATTAGTTACGTCTAAATATTCCTTTTCACTTTAACCCTATTCATCGTTGCATCTGTGCAAATGCGCTATTTATAAGTCCAAGCTTTGGTCTCTATTTTTTTTTCTGTTTTTGCACGCATTGGAAATGGGTGGAATGGTTTAAACTCCTACATCCTTTAACTACATCATATCCGTCAGATCAATTACACATCTCCTCCCCCCGTTCCGCTGATGTCAGAAGAACACAAGCCATTGATAACTGTGGTCGAGGACTTGACCTCGATAAAGGCTAATGTTCCACAATTACAGGCGACTTTCAGCAATCTAATACAGAAAACACCCACTAGGGATCAATACGAATATCTTTCGAACCTAGCCTCATCAGACGCCCCCGGTGAGGCAACAAGTACGGTAGAGAAAATGCACACATTGGTTCAAACACCCCAAGCCCAAGTCTCTGTCAGGTTGAGGGAGCTATACGATATGAGAAAACTACCTTTGCTAACTGCCATGTCGAAGATTGTATTTAAACTGGCACTAGTGGACCAGGAACGGGAATTAGGTGCATTTTTGGATATAATGCCAACAGAAGAGGAGGACACTGTCAGTAAGAACGAATTGATTGATCCAGATGTGCCGAAATTGTCAATTGATTATTTCTCGTACCCTCCCACCTTGCCAGGTATTGGTGACAAGTTGTTGCTCATAAGAATTGCCACAGACAAGTCCTACCGGCAACCGAGTGACTTTATCGAGCTGACTGCTGAAAAATACACCAATTCACATAATGCCAAGTTGGCACTACGAGGTCGAGCCACCATGGAACTAATTCTATTGGGTCTTTTGGATGAAAAATTTTCCAACTTGTATGAAAAGGATTTGTTGACAATGCGCGATCGGCTAATGTCATTGGAAGTATTGGCCAAATTTGCATTTGGATACAACTTGGTAGATGTGATGAAGTACAACTTGTCGGTGGATGCTGATGACGAAACAAAGATGGAAGTTTGTGCAAATGTTTTTCTAGCTTATATAGCTGGATTGCAAATGGTTGGCTACTATCTCAAAGATATCAAGACGTGGTTGAAGAAATTGTATCAACCATTAATCTCTGATATTTCTGCATCGTCAATACCACTAGCAAAGGTTGCTGTAATTGAATTCGAGTCGTTGCTCAAACTGATTACCAATGTAAATCGATACCCTCCAAATATTGTCAATTATGAGATTCGCCAGGTCAACACTGATCCATTTGTTGCGCAGGTTATCGTTGGTGATGATAGAGAAGTAGTAGGTGTTGGAGTGTCATCGACAAGCTTTAATGATGCTAGGGATCGTGCTGCATTGGATATAATGGATGACCAAGAAAAAGTTGTTAGAATTTTTACCATAATCAAGCATCAGTATTTGAGAAACCAAAGAGATAGTAGAGGTGAATCGAGATCAGAGTCAAGGTCTAGGTCTCCGTCATTTGTAACTGATGGCAATACTTCGGAGTAAATAAGCCAAACCCATGGATAGGCTAATTACAGTGCACCATTGTCCCGGCATAGCAGCACGCTGTAGTCATTACCAAGCTCACGACCAGGCATGCCATGCATCACTGGTGAGCAAAGCCCATATCCGCAACAAACTTATGGGCAACCACACTCAATGTACGGTCAACAAGGGTCTCATGGATATCTGCCGGGATACGGTAGTGGTTCTCCCCCTCAATCCTATGTCTCGTTGGATAAAGTAGAAACGCATACCAGTGTCCAAGAATATCATCTGCAGGGATTTGTTCAGCAAGGCTACTGAGTTCAATCACAGTATACTACTATCCCATTAACTGAAACTGAAGTCGATATGCAGGCACCCAATTATTCCGCCACAGCTGCATTTGACGCCTGACTATTATGCCACCAAAGCTGAAAATGTGTTTCGCGCAGAGTATTTTTGCGATGGAGTAACACTAGGTGCTGGCATCGATACCAGCAAAAACAATAATCAGCCCAGAAATCAGCCATGGCTGCCTTATCCAACCGTGAGGCTTTGGATGAACTTGTAGTGATCCCTAGAAATTAACGACAGCTTTGCACAATACCAATGATGGATAGAATTTGCGAAAGAGGAAGGGTAATAGATTATGTGTCTCTCTTTTGCAGCAAAAAGTGCGAACCAAATTCAAGTCGCATGCAGGAAAACATTATTATTTTTTGTGTTATGTATTGTGGCTCTAACTCTCTCTCACCCGTTACTAGTTATGGACCAATCAAATGATCGGAAAAGGAAAAGGTGTGTCCCGGGGACTATATGATGTCACGTGGACCTTCCCACCCGGAACACAAAAAAAGAAAATCTTGCGTCCTTTGCGCAAAACCTGCACAAGGCTAAAGTCTTTGGTGTATAAGAAAAATGGATAGAGGGAAAGACAGAATTAATGAGCCGTACAATTACTGTTAAAGAGAATGTCCTGAGAGACATAAGGTCATTCTTGTTTGCCGTGACTATTTTAGATGTGTGTGTGTGTGTGTGTGTGTGTTTGGTGATGGCAACGTTTGTTTGATTAATTTAAATTTTTTGTTTCTTTTTTTCTTTATTTTTTTCCTCTCTCTGTCTGCTTTTTGAAAAGTTTTTTTTATTTTTCCTTCAATCAAAACGTTGATCTCTCTCTGTTACTTTCTTTCGTCGATTAGTTGAAACTATTCAATACATATTCCCAACAACACTTTTAAATTACAGCTTTTGTTTCACAATGTCTGCTCCAGCCACTGCTTACAAACTCCCTGAATATACCATCACCGATTATGGAAAATTCGCCCTTGCCGGTGCTATTGGATGTGGTGCTACCCACGGTGCCATGACTCCAATTGATGTTGTCAAGACCAGAATCCAATTAGAACCAACTGTCTACAACAAAGGTATGATTGGTTCTTTCAAGCAAGTTGTTGGCACTGAAGGTGCTGGTGCTTTGTTGACTGGTTTGGGTCCAACTGTTTTGGGTTACTCCATGCAAGGTGCTTTCAAATTCGGTGGTTATGAACTTTTCAAGAAGCAATTTATTGAATTGTTGGGATACGACACTGCTAAGCAATATAAGAACTCCATCTTTATTGGTTCTTCTGCTTTGGCTGAATTCTTTGCTGATATTGCTTTGTGTCCATTGGAAGCTACTAGAATTAGATTGGTTTCTCAACCAACTTTTGCTAATGGTTTAGTTGGTGGTTTCTCAAGAATTTTGAAGGAAGAAGGTGTCGGTTCATTCTACAATGGTTTCACCCCAATCTTGTTCAAACAAATTCCATACAACATTGCTAAATTCTTGGTTTTCGAAAGAGCTGCTGAAGCTATCTACGGTGCTATCCCAACCCCAAAGAAGGACTTGACTCACGGTACTGTTACTGCTGTTAACTTGGGTGCTGGTATCATTGCCGGTTGCGCTGCCGCTATTGTTTCTCAACCAGCTGATACTTTGTTGTCCAAGGTTAACAAGACCAAGAAGGCTCCAGGTCAATCAACCGTTGGTTTGTTGATCCAATTGGCTAAGCAATTGGGTTTTACTGGTTCATTCGCCGGTTTGCCAACAAGATTGGTTATGGTTGGTACCTTGACCTCCTTGCAATTCACCATCTACGGTCAAATTAAGAAGGCTTTGAACTGTCCACCTGCTGTTGAATTGTAAGCAAAGCTGGTGCATTTCTCAGTTCTTTAGACCCAGGGTGTATAATTTGTATAAATAAGAGAAGAAAAGACAAGAAAAAACTCGACAATGGTACATCTTACTTGTTAATATATAGAATTTTTTACAATCATTAACACTTTACCTCATTTATTGGTCGTGTAGAGAAGAGGATGGATGTTACAAGTGGCTCTGGACCCTGTAATTAGAAGCTTTGGAGATTATTAAAGCCTAGGCAATTTTACGAAAGCATTTCGATGTTTTGCGAGAGTCACGTGAATAGATGGAGTTAATTTTAGTTGATCAACACCCAGCAGAAGAAGTTACATAAGTCAAGCAAGTGAAATACAAACCAGATAGGAGATGTAACTCGAGAGGCTCCTATACCGAGCACTTTTTCGTTATTGTCATATAGAGCTGCAACGAAGCAGTGTATAACTAAAGGCAGCGATGATGTAAAACATATCGCGTAAACGTGGCTGAAATCGCATATTAAGTTTTGGAAGTGGGTCTCAACAGCAGATGTAGCATCCACCGCATTTAATGCAAACAGTTATTTTACTTTTAGAGCGTAAGCGGACATCAAATCTGTAGTCACTTACTTACTATTGCAGAAGTTGTGGCGAAGCTGCAACTGGGTCAATGTGGATTTTTGTACCATTTCATTTAGAGCCGATTCGGCCGTAAAACCAAAAAAATACGGTAAAACAAACTATAGTGTTCCGTGTTCCGTGTACCAAAAATTTGGTACATCAACTGTAACACTAATTTCGTTTTCTGTAGCCTTGAACAATAGAAAAGCATGAACCTCTCTGCTTGAACGGTTAACTATTGTGAAACCATGATATTTTGATTCACCGCAAAATGAAAGTTTCAGGCGATATTTTTATTTTTCTTTTTTCTCATTTGGCAGTTGAGTAGTTGATTGAAAATGGTAATTAAATGGCCCAAAGAGGAAATGACGTAAAATCAAAAACAAATAATATTTAATTACACAATGTCTAAGTTTGAACTAAAAGCAATTTGAAGAAAACGAAAATAAAATCTTGGGGGAGATGGGTACAGCTTAGGAAAGCCATTCGCACATTAAAACTCCTATTATTGCTACAACAAACGTTCAGGCAAAAGGTAGGGGTAGTAGAGAGAGGTTTAAGCTCCTCCGTTTCTACTTAAAACAAACTAAGTTTTGGAGGCACAGAACAAACTTTTAGTTTTTTATACTATTAAACTTTTGTTGGCAAATCCGACAAAGAAGACGATAGCAACAGCATATCAATGTAGTTAACTCCTTTGATTGCTCTTACAGATGCCGGTCCTATATGCTCCTAATCCTGGCCAGCATAAAGGTTTACTAATCGTAGATGGAAAATAAAAGATTGATTAATGCATGCAAAACTAGGTCCATAGGTGTGTGGCATTTTGTGTGTATTTAGTGTATTTATCTCCATCGGCTTAAAAATTGATGATTTTCTGTATAGCTTTTTAAATCATTTGCTTCTTTGTATACAAATTCACCATGTTCGGGAATCATCCCACACACTTTGGAACATTCGGTTACGCAATAAGAAAAATATAAAGTAGAACAATAGGTGCAGTTGCTGCAAAGTGTTTTTAGTCTCAATTCTACTGCGTTAATTCCTTTATTACGACTGTTGGTAATTGTTGTTGTTGTTCTGTTACAGAGTTGGAAGTGTATATGATGGTGATACCTATCAAATAAAGGCAACGCTCTGTCATTGGTTAGACAATTCTTTTGTTATATTTACGGGGCGCTCGACAAAAAGAACATTCTTTGTACGTCATTTAGTAAGTTGGTTAGTTGATGTATATATTGTATGCAATAATAATAAAATTCGATATTTGATTGCTTTTTCATTTGTTCTTTCTTCTTCTTATATACAGTATTACGTTGTTTTATATCACTATTCCACGCCCCTATTGAAATACTTTGTGCCATCATCGATGACCAAATATAGACACTCACCCACTGACATCCGGTTATTAATTGTTACACTAGTGATGGTGATTTTATGTGACTAAATGCATTCACATAATTGCTATTGACAAAGTATAAATATACCCTGAAATCCGTGTATAATTTGACTTCCACAAACAAAGTGTTCTCCTCTTCTTTTTCTTTTTGCATCCTTTAAATCTAGTACATCAGAAGAATACGAGATGAGATTTTTTGAAACTTTATTATTCGCCATCACCTGGTTGGCTTTGCAAGTTGCTGCTGCCCCAGTCAACAAGAGGTTTTTTGCCCCATCATCACCAACTTTCTCATTGATTGCAGTACACAACGGTACCACATTCAACTCAAACTTGGTCAAATTTAACGGTTCTGCTATCAAGTTGGGTTCAGATGACAAGGCCTTCTTTGGTACTATCCAAGCTGACAAAGGTTACATCTTGAACTTGCCATTTACCAACGGCTCAAACCAATCTTCCACCGTAAATGTCGCTGTCTCCAACAAGACTCACTTGATTTCAACTACAACCAAGAACGATTCAGCTAGTGAGCACTTTGGAATTGTTAACGGATGGTTGTCTTACTTGAACACTACTCAATTTTTGGCTTGTCCAGAATCTGCAACTAATGCAACTTCCAAGTCGAACTCCACTTCCAACTCAACTATCGAATACGACCTTTTCCACAACCCGTTGAACAAGACCCAGTGTGAAACTGGTAAAGGTTACGATGTCAAATTATTGGTTCAATTGAGCGTTCCAATCTCATTCTCACCAGAATCCAACTCCTTCGGATTCTTCAAGAGAGACAACATTATCAAGAGATTCATTAACGAGCTTTTCAAATAAGAGTGAAGATGCTGGACTTTTAAAAAGTTGAAGGTTGCTACAATTTGCCTCGTGATACCACCAAAACTATCTTTTCTACGAAGAGGTAATATTCTTTTTAATTTTCTATAAACGTTGCTATTTTTTATATAACTTCGGTATTAGCTTTGTCTTAATTTTATAATTAAATACCCTTGATACCACTTTTTATTTCGTTCAAAACTCAATGAAAAAGCCACAATCGCTTAAATACTGTGTAATCTCTTCTCAATGTCGCACTTCAAGGCTTTACTTGTGGTTTTGCGACAGACAAAATAAAGAACATATCACCGAAGACAAAAAAAGAATATCCAAAATGTGTACTTATACTTTGGTTAGTCTGAACCATAAACTAGTCATAAGACATTGAAGTGTATATGTATAACAACAGCTTAGCCCAACCATGGACTTCACTTGGGTTTAAGCAATTGATGTATTTTTTGAGTCGTAATGCTCGCCATCGCTATGAGATGCGAGTCATTCAGATAAGGTCACTTGCTGAAAGTCTCCAGTCTTTTAACGAGCTTGATCTAGGTTCAAACA